ATTCCTTAAAAGCCTAGAAATAAAATTGTTGAGTCAAATGGTGTGCAAATTTTTAAGCCTTTTAATGCATAGAGTCAAATGTACCCTTTCTAAAAGTTTTATCAGTGTAAGTTCCTGCCAGTGAGAGTGCTCACTGATACTACATATTATAATTTTTTAAGCTTTCCATGCTTCTTGTTAGAATCAGATTTTCCTGAATTTTGATCATTTCTCTGTATTTATAACTTGAAAAATATTTCTGAATGTATCCAAATGAATTAGCACATTTATTGAGTATAAGTGTCAAACATTTTGCTAGGGGAGGCATAAGATGAGATAAGAGTTTTCCACCTTGAAGTAATTTAGAGATATTTGGAATCGATGAAATATTTTACTAGAACTGAGACTTGGAATTAAAATAGAATTGTGTTTCTAGAGAGGGAGGCCAAGATTGTCCCTCATTTAGGTAAATGATTGGAAGCTCTTTCTATACTTCCTGCTATCTTAGGTAAGGTGCAGATCTGAAAACACATTGACATTCAGTTCCATGACTTAGTATGAAAAAAAAAATCAATTGTACCTACCTGTGTTTTAAAATTTGTTTGGTGTTTCCAAAGTAAATAAAATCATCAGTCCTTTTGGAAGAGTTTGAATACTTATGTTGTAGAAATATTTTTAGAATTTTTAATTACTGCTATTTTCAAAGTGCATTGAAATCGACTATTCTTTACCTGGTGAAATGTTCGATTAAAAATCACTGAGATTGAACTTTGACATTTGTGTAGTAGTTTTATTAGAATAAGGAGGATGTCTAGTGAGTGACCTAGGAATTCAGATCTAACAAAAGTAAGTTTTTCTGATATAGAAAGAAGTCAGGAAGAGTGAAGAAATAGCAAAATTTCCTTTTCACATTATCTTTCTATGATCCTTGGATTTATTTATTTTTTTAATTCTCAGAAGAGAACAGGCTTTCAGACTGAATGCTTTTCTTGGGAGCCTTGGAAGTGAGAGAGGGAAATTGGGAAGGTGAGGAAAAGGTAGGAGAATTAAATATTGGAACTACAAAGGAGTCAGATGTGATATAAAAAGTTGTGAAGTGAGAAGGTTCCATTGTAGTTGAATTTTCAAGTGTCCCTTCTCCAATACAAGTAATTGAGGAGAATAGAACCCAGGGATCAAATCTGAAAGCAAGTGAAGTTTCAACATTGGTAGACATGCCCTGGGTGACAAACTCTTCACATATGATGTTGATATTCAGTGATACAGTTTTTTTTTTTTGCAACTTTTGATTGGTTTAGGGGTGTAATGTCTTTGGAATTGCTGACATGTTGGACTGTACATAATTTATAGTAGATAGAAGCCTGGGCTAAGAATCAGAAAGTATTTATTTTGGTTTTAACTTCCTGGGTGATGCCTGTTTTTTTTTTTTTTTATCTTCATGATACTCTAATTTTTTGTTATAAAATGAGGATGTCATGTAGGTTCACCAAAAGTTTATTGTGGAAACCAAATACCTAATACATAAAGTTACTGAAAGGAATAAGAGAATTAAAGGACGTGGAAAAACTGCAAAGTGCTCTAAGGGTATTAGACATTATCATTATAGTTTTAGTGACCTATTTTCCAAACCTAAATTGGACCACATGGTATGAGAGAGGATTTTTGTGTCACTTCCAAGGGCAAGAGGCAGTCTGCAAAATGTAATTTGGATGCCAAAATATTGAAATTTCTGGCACATTTTGCTGGTTTATGGGAGTAGTGATAAAATATTTGAAGTAATGACTGCTCAGTAAAATGCATGATGTGGGATCACTATAATTATGTAATTTCTTTGCAAAAGGTATTTTATTTTTCATATAAGTAGAAGTTATTTGATTCCACCAAATCCTAAAGCTGGGAGAAACTATTAAGAGCATTTCAGTTTGAGTTTCCTGTCTTAAGTCTCCAGGAGAAATGCTAGGTAAAGTTTTTTTTTGGGGAAACAAATTTCACAATGTTCACTAGTGTAGGAGCTTATCTTCTTAGTGAAGATCCTTACCTTAAAAATCTGTCTTCATTTTAACTCTTATCACCTGTACTCATCTTTTCTTAAAAAGAGAAATTTAACTAAGGAAAGGAGTAATTTATTTTTTGTTGTTTTGAGACAGGGTTTCACAATACAGTTCAGGCTGGCCTTGAACTCACTTTGTAGCCCAGGCTGGCCTTGAACTCGCAGCATTCCTCCTGCCTCAGTCTGCTGTGTGCTGGGATTATAGGTGTGTACCACCATGCCCAGATCTAGCAGTAGCTTTTTAAAATAGAAAATTCTTCCTTAAAGGATACAAAAAAGAACTGAAAAAAATAATTGTTGGAATTCTTTACCAGAAAGATTTAATAAGCCTTATGGGCCATAAACACTAAATTCATTTCTCCTGGAATATGTTATATTGTTGGATGGTAACTGCAAAAATTGATTTCATTTCCTTTGGTTTAGCACTATAATAAGCCCATATGTTATTTATCATCAAACTCTACCTAGAAATTTTAAAAATTAGTTACCACTTGGAGTTCTTTGGTTTCTTGATAAATACTGTGTACAACAGAGGCGCTAGTCTGTTTCTTCTAGCTGTATTATAAGAAACTTTGGTGTTCAGTTTTTCTTTCATGAACCTTTTGTGAAGGGTTGGGGACTTATGGCTTGAGCTTTTATAAGCCCTTTGTTTTGTGTTTTTGCAATCATATAGCAAAACATTAAAGTGTTTATTTTTATTTTCAGTGACAAGAAAGAGAATGTTTTAGAGTTTATTTTCCCTGACATTTATTGTAACTCAAAAATCATAGAATAGATCAAGTTCATATTGATTGCTCCATGAAGCCTCTGAGTTTTCAACAGAAACCATAAACTAAACTGATGCACTTAAGATGCCCAAGTAATATGAATTTGGTGTTAATAATCCAGTTGAGATTTCTGCTTTTATCCAGATATGTGAAGCTCCTGGATTCCATCCCTAGGATTGGTTGTGAAAGGCTGAATGGATTTGCAGTTGAACTAAAACAAACTAATCTATATCCTTGGCTGGGAGGTTGATGCATGAATTATGCATCTGTAGCCTTTGTGTGACTTCAGAGATTAGACAGAACTGGAGAAAAGAGTTCCTGATAGGAATGGTGTACAAAACTGGATACAGTAGCTAGGAATTACTATGCAAAAGATTTTCTGTCTTGTTAACACAGTTCTCTTAGAGATTGGGGCAAATGGCATACAGACCAATAAGATGGCTTGAACTTTGCTTTTAATGCTGCTGGAAATTGGTTTTTCGATGCAAAGTATAAGCTTAATCCTTGGAGATTTCTGCTGCCAGACCACTGATGGGGAGGACCTTGATTCCTGTGTGTAGGGACTGTCATTCTCCAGTCAGGCACTCAGCTCAGTGAAAGAAATTAGGTGTTAGGGGAGAGTGATGCCTCATTAAAGGGATCCCTTTTGATTGAGTAGAGCAGCATTTTGCTTAGTCCTCTTCAGTGTTATTCCTGAAGTTGGTGAGCTTATTATTCATATCAATCATATCATCTTTGTGCATTCATGAGAAGAATGTCTATTTAATGTGGACACGATCAGCCATCAGAGAGAATAAATGCCTCTCTAAAGCTTGATATGGCTGACTATTGGCCCTGTGAATGGTAAGACTGAATCAATCTGGCTAGAATTTTTTTTAATTGCTGGTGCACTATACCATCACAGATTGACCCTGTTGGAGCTCAGAGTTTAAGTGGATACTAAAGTAAAAAAATGTAGCATCCTGTGAGTGGTTTAAAATGCAGAGTTTGTTTTTGTGGAGTCAGTAGTATAATATCTTTTATTTTTTATGCAACCCATGCTGAAATCTAAAGTCATGAAATTCAAGAAAACGAACTGATACATTCAGGCTGTGCACACTTTGGCTTACCTTTGTGCTTTGTTTCAGGTATATAAATTATACATCCCAGTGTAATTCAGAAATGACAGCTTCTAAGGAGAGTAATAAAAAATTGTTTGAACCACAGAGGTTAGGATATATAGGCTTTCTAGCTCGGTTTAGGAGGCTCAGGGTGCCCTGCCAAATAGGTATTTAAAGCACATCCAAACATTAGGTCATTAACACACATAGTGTTACATCTCATTTTCAGATCCAGCAATGATAAGTTGATAAAATAGTCACTTGATGTAAGGTATTAAATCTGTCCAACTATACCCATTATCTCCAAACTTTGATATGTATAAGAACAGTAATAATACCTTGCATTTATATATTGATTTATAGTTCATAAAATAGTTTACACATTATCCAAAATCTATGCAGGCTAGTAACCTTAATATTATTTAGTACATTTATGCCACTTATGAGAAGACAATCATAGTGACCTTTGAATTCACAGAGAAAGAATTTGTCACTAATAAAATGTATAAAGCAAATTATGCATAGACTTGAAAGATACTCTTGCAAAGGGGAAAATTAAAAAGGGAGACCCTTGTAACCTATTCATCTTTTTGTATGGTGAGTGGTTGACAATTGAGCAATAATTTCTTTGTTGAGATTTTGCTTTATCTGAGATAAATGTTAAGAAACAATACCTTAGTCAGAAAGCAATTCTAATTTAAATTATTTGGAACCATAGAAAGGTTGATTGTTTTCATTTTCAAAATCTTTTGTTAGCTATTTTTTGTGCTTTACCTCTCAATATTTTTGTATTAATGTGGGATATAGGCTTCGTAGAAGAATATGCTAAACTAGGACTTCCTATTCATAGCGAAAACTGACAAATACCTTTTTTCTTATTATCTTTAAATTGCAAATGTCTGAAGGCTGGTCATAATTGGATGCATCATTCTGTGATTTAAATGCATTACAATTTTTGAACGTGATTTGAAAAACGAACACTACTCTAGGGGAAGTGGGGCAGGGCTGGCATTAAATGGGGTTAGGCAAACAATTCAATTTATGCTTTCTTTTCGAATAGTTATTGATTATAGAAATAAGTAGGAGCTTATGCTTCTTTTTCAGAACTTTGCAGAAAACACCATGAATGAACTCCTTGGCTGGTATGGCTATGATAAGGTTGAATTAAAAGATGGTGAAGATATTGAATTCAGGAGCTACCCTACAGATGGGGAGAGCCGGCAGCACATTTCTGTTCTCAAAGGTAATGACATTTAATGTCCTTTTGTTCATGCAAAAAAGGATTAACTATCTCAACCTGCCAGAATTGAGTTGCTCTGGGACTCATTTTTGTTGATTTTTGCCCACGGTTGATTTAAATATATATCCTCAGTAGCACTTGCCTATAAAGCACAAGTCTACAGAATATAAGCATAACATAAAAAATAGACATAGCTTAATCTCCTTCCAGACAAGGACTCAGGAACTTAAGTGCCATAGTCTTGCCTATAAATTCATAGAAAGAGACAGTGTTTCCCAACTTCTAGTTTCCTGATCCCTTTGATATATCATCAGTTGTCAGGGATCGGGACTTTCTGTTAAATGCAATGTTAGGTTTACATTTTCAGACTGTAAGAGTCACTGTTAGTTAGAAATACTTCTTCCTTTTTTTATGCGTGGGAATTCTAAAAGAAACCCCTATTTCCACTTTGTGTTTGAAATTTTCACTCTTCCTCTGCCGCATACTTTTGAATAGGGTTAGAAAAGTAGTAAGAGAGTAGTAGATGGTTACATCCTATATTATTCTGTAAGAATGTTCACATAGCCCAACTAAAGAGTAGAAATTACAGATTTGCCAAGCAGAATTTACACTAATTCTACCGGTGGGCAGGAGGGCCATATATGTGAGGGAGAAGCCTGTGTGTGTACTAAATTTATGAAACTAAATTTGGAACAATAATTTGTAAAAGAAAAGAGGAGGAACATGTGAAGGGGCAATTTATTTATGTAATTTTAATAATTTCAGTAAAAGTGGGTAAAATGAATTGTTCATCGTTGGCAATTTGATCAGTATTTGTGTTGCATTCACAATCTATTGGCATGAGCTACCTGTTCAAGCATTTTATTTTCAGTCTTTAAGATAGTGCTTTTTCTTATGCCAAGCTGTAAAATGTAAATAAGCTGTCCTACAGGCATGTGGAATTGAAAGTATGTGACAAATTTTATGTTAAGCTTGCTATGAAATTGTACATTGTGTTAGAAAGATGGTATCATCAATTTCACTGTAAATGAAAAATATCGCAAGTCATGAATTTATATTCTATAAACTAATAGCTGGTATAATACTTGGCCTAGGCAATAATCTTTGCCTCTGGGGAACACGGAAGGAGAGAGTGCCAGGATATCCTATTAGAGAGAAAAAGTTGTTTTCCATGATTGAGGCTTTTCAAAAAACAATTTTTATACAGAAAATGCACAAACTTTGTAAGTTTTATTTTCTTTTTTGTTATATTTTTTTTTTCTGGTACCAAGAATCGAACTCACAACCTTGTGCTTGCTAGGCAGGCGCTGTGCCGCTGAGCTAAATCCCCAGCCCCATTTTTGTTAATTTTTAATGGATATCATCAATACCTGATTCAACAGACAGCACTTTTCTTCTGAGTCATCTGCTTCTTTCTCACTGATAATTTGAGTATGTTATGGTTATTATTTATAGTACAGTGAGACCTACTTAGTTAGAATGGTGAGGTGAATGTTTTAGGTTTTCCTCTTGGTAACCGGAGGGCAATGCTTACCGTATATCACTTTGTACATGGAAAAGGTTAATTGCCCCTCAATTTTCTGTGGGAATTTAGAGTGCTAAAATTCATCACCATGATTCAACTGGGATATTAACTATCATAGTGGAGCAAATTTAAAGGAGTTGATTGGAAATTTATGGTAGCTAGATCAAAAAGCTCCAGGAGGGACTGTGAAATTCTGGTAAATTGTTTAAGGTTTGTAAGGGAAAATTTGTTTCATTACATGATTCTTTTATGTGAGGGAAGTTTTAAGTCTACTGAATAAGTTCTTTTGTTATTGAGTATGTTTTTGTTCTTTTACAGAAAATTCTTTGCCAAAACCAAAATTACCCGAGGACAGTGTTATTTCACCATACAATATAAGCACAGGCTATTCAGGGCTTGCCACTGGAAATGGACTCAGTGACTCACCTGCAGGGTCAAAGGATCATGGCAATGTGCCCATTATTGTACCTTTAATTCCGCCACCTTTCATAAAGCCACCAGCAGGTAAGCACTACTGAGATTTCCGGTGATAAGGATCCATGGACAGTTGCTTTAACTATCTTATGAATCATTATTAAATGCTTAAAAAATAGGCAAGGATTGTTTTAGGAACTTTGGACATAAGAAATGTTAGCACATGTATCATTTATTTATTTTTTATTTTTTTATTTTAAAAAAGAAAACATTAACAGGCAGGCAACCTTTTACAAAATAGCAAAAGAACAGTACAGACAATACAGGGTTACAAAGTGGTAGGAAATTAACAATGGTGGTTGTATTACATATTGATATCTTCAAAGTGG